ATCATGAGTACCAGACTTGCACAAGGTGATGGCTTGACCGTAGCCCGTCTCATAATGTATGCATGGAACCACCCTTTGAGCCTAGCACCGCCACGAGGACCGTGTACCCCGCCCGCTCCAGCAACTGTCTCCTGAAGCCAGTATAGACGAGGTGGTGGGTAATAGACAAGTAGGCACATTTGCAACATTCGCATCAAACGCAGCCAATAACCAACGTCTGAACTGCAAGAAAAGCAACACGCAGGCACTCGTATAGACAAAATGTAACGACAATGCGGCACACATCACATCAGTCGCCTTATTGACCTGAATTAGTAGATCTAATGAAATTGGATTCAGCGCACCTATCAATCACTGCGCTGATTATGCTTTGATAATCAATCGGCTCGTCGTCGATTGGATGCTGGTCCCACATGGCCACGCTGGTGGCTTACCAAACACGCATGGCTCAGGCACTCGCGACCGCATGTGTCACAGTACCATTTGCTTGACATCGGTGGCCTAGAATCCACCGGCGCTAATGGCTTCCGTACCCAGCGTTTCTCCTCCGCGTGCAATAGTGCCTACTGCTGCACCGGGGCAACCGTCATCATGATCAGCTTAGAAGATTCACGTCGACCAACTACTTCTGATTCCGAGCACCTGAAATCAACATTAGTTTGTGGTAAACTCACTTTGATCATGTCTTGGTAATGTAATTTCGGAATGCAAATGTGCCGATTTCCAGCACGCAGGTGGCCGTGCAAAAGCTGGTTGGGTATCCTCCTCGAGTTCACTCGGCCGTTATGACCCAGTAATCTAAGATGCCGCAGCAGAAGCACAGTCTACTGTGTACATGCCACCGCGACGCAGCACGTCCGTGACTGCAACAAAGTCACAGCAACCGATGCGCAGATGCTGTCACAGACAGTGCTGATGAAATCGTTCCAAATATCTGACGTTCTTCTGGCCCATTGTCCACGTTTCGATGCCGAACAGAAGAACGGATAGCAACATCAACTTGTATACCAGCAGCTTCGTACCAACGGTAAGTTGATGATTGTTCCACACAAGCATTCCAACTTTTCAAATGCAGTACCCGCTTTCGATACGCGGACACTTAGCTCACTCATTATCTGAAGATCGGTTGAAAGTACGCTAACTTATTTGTCTGTCAGTTGTTGTACCACGACTTGCAAACAAGTGGCTCGCTTTACATCCAGACATCTTGTATATTTCTTGATACGATTATGAGCATCTGTGATCATTATTCGTACCATGCATTTTCCGAACTGACGCGCAACATCCCAAGCCCTGGGATGGCTTAGCAGCGGTCTGTAGTTGACACTGCGGGGAAGAACGTTCCTTCGCAAACAATCACAGAGGAAAGCTACCTGCTGCCTTGCAGAGGCTTGCCGGCAAGCAGAATACTCCCAACGGCGAGCGGAGCGTAGCGTTGAGCGCCAGTAAGTATTCCAAATAATTTGGAACACTGGTAGCCCGGGTTGATCGTTTCTCCGAGCTTAAAAGCAATTTAGCTGGTATACCATTTGCAAAAGGGCATTGCCACAAGCTGGCGCAGTCAACAGAGTCGATAGCGACTTTCAATTCGAGGAAAACGACCATGGTCGGTCGTCTGCAATTGTGTCACTGCGATCACAATCGGCGAAGAGTAAATATGTGGTCGACTCAACCACGACGAAGGTGAAAGCCAGTCTGACACTCAGTGATTCTTTTCTCACGAGAATCGGTAAGTCGTCAGAGAATGATACCCGTGAGAAATTTAGAGGCAACAAAAATAAGACTAATGCCTAGATGATTTTCGCACAAAGTCCGCTGAGTCTTTTAAAGGTAGGCACGCCAGCTGACGGTCACTAAACTAAAAGTACCCACTCAGTGTCTCAAATTGGGTCGAACAGAACAACAGATTAAGCCGATAAAGAGCCATCTTCATCTTTTAGCAGAGATAGAGGCAGGTCATCAAGTTGAGAACCCTTGTCTCGTTTCAACACGACAAACACATGTTCAAACTCTTCTGAAGTGGGAGATGTGATACCAAAACTTCCCACGTGGGCCCAAATGATTCGGCAAACGACAGTGTTGTAGCAGGCCTGCTGGACTGCTCTTCAAAAGGTTCCACCCAATGGACTAGTCTACGAGGCTGAGAATGGGCCAACAGTTCCACTTCATCAGCTATGGTCTCACTAACTGAGGAGTTCCTCGGACCCGTATTCAGAGTGAGCTGGAACAACACTACTGTTCCCAGTAACATTCGTTTCCTTCACCTCACAGGAACTTGCCACCTATCCGCGTTCTCGATCAAATGGAATTCTGAGCAGTAGTCATTTGACAGAGTCGCAAACAAGCTAAAACTCAGTGCGCATTGGAACCTGTTTACGCGCTTCGATCAAACCGAACGATGCCTCAGAGATCCATTCAAAGTTCAGAATACTCAGGTAAGGGGTACAGCCAATTACGAAAGTATTGTTGCTGACACACTTGAGAGTATTTTAGTCCCAACCGAATCCAGAACATTCCTGACAATTAATGAGCCAGTTCGTCATGACATTGCTGGACTGCGACTTAAAGGTACAAGTGAAATGTTTAAAAATTAGGAGCTCTTTTGAGGAAGGAACAGAGAACGCCGAACGTGCAGGAATCTAGACACGTTCTCTGTTGTGTCGCCACATCTGCTCAACCAGCGACGAAATGAGAACACCAAAGACCAAACAGTATCGAGGGCACATTTGCATGAGCGCATAGCGGAGTAAAGAGGTCGAAGGCAGTTACTAAACACAACAACATCGGAGATGTTTTTTTAAGTATTTCATGCATTCATTTCCCTTCAGAAATTTTAAGAGTGCAGTTATGCGGGATAACCTGAATTCAGATTATTTCGTGTCTTCTCATTCAGCCGCTTACAGACAAATCGTGGAAAGAGTAAAGGAATGCAACTGAAAAAGGGGGTCAATAGGAAAATCAATAACACACTGAGAACATCAAGGTCATTGCCTACGCCTTACCGGGACAAGGCAAGACTGGCCACAAGGTCAACCTGTTTGCAAAGGTTTGGTTTCATTCGTCGGATGGCCGAGGCTTCAGCGAAACGAAACAAGCTCGCGTTGTTTTGTCTGCTGATAACCTTGGATGCGTCACGTGGGTTTTCACACAAGGTACAATCGAGCAGATGCTGAGCGATGCAGCTGGCAGGGAGTTTAGGTCCACTATTTGCCAGATTGAGTGGAACATGTTCCATGATCGTATTTAATAGCCTTCTCTCGGTTCGGCCAATGTACATGCTACCGCAAGAATATCATAAGTGAGCATGCGGATAAACTTGGCCTGCATGCACATCGACTGAGAACGTTACTCAACGTTTGTACGAAAGGTGTCAGATGGCACGATGCGAACATTTGTGCTATAAAGCAGTGGTGCTAATATAAAGATTTTAGTCGGGACATAGTTGCAGGAACCCGAAACTATCTCCCAGGGGTAGTTCGGAGTTTGAAAGGCGACACACTTAGGCGTTCGTGTCATCAGCAACAATCACGATGTCAATATGTTTCTCAAAATGGAGAAGATATGAGGACTGATGATAGAAATCGTCTTCCATACTCTCAGAATTACAGCCAGTGACAAGATCAACGGAAGCGATGAAAAGACATTGTCTTCGGGCGGCTTTTAAATAGCATTACAGGTTAGAAATCGAACCGCCGTTTCGTGGTATTCGGTCGAATGGATTCCATTGAGTTAGTTTGCTGAAAGTGATACCGAGACGATAGGTGCCATTACTCATTGACTCAGTATCAACAGAGACGCGAATAATGTAATCAATGTCGGCAGATTCGGAGCTAGAGAGTTGATTTGTCATGACGCCATTATCTGCTGTGTTTCGGAGATACAGCACACATCAATACCAAGAAGACGGAATTCGTGCTGCTTTTTGATAGATCATAACTATAGTGCGGACGTTAACAGAACCAATGAGAAAAGAGACCCCTGGTTTGAATGATGAGTTGCATGTTTAGATAGCGTCAGCTGCAAAAACAAGAAAGTCGCCAGTACTACATTGGCACATCGTGTCGACGCCTGGTTGGCACGCGACCACCACCTGTCGCTCGTGGGCTGGGCAGACTGTGAAGTCGCCGGCGTCTACGCGGATCCTAAAGAGTGGCCTTTGGAGTATAAGGCAAACGCGTAGTGCTGTCGGGTGCCAGATGACATAGGCAATGATATATTGCTCAGTAGGCAAGGAAGAACAGGGTTGTAATGAGAGAAAAATAAGTAGAGGAGGTTGTCGACATGGTCGATTGCGAGAGAGGTACCGTTTAAAATGCACTACCTCATGCCTTTGGCTCAACAGTCTAACCCACAAGGCGGTGTGGAGCAAGTTCAGCTAGGGAGTGTGGTGGTTGAAATGTAACGGGTTCTGTTTAAGATCTATTATTACACAAACTCTGAAGAGGGGATACAATTCGCTTGCGAGTTTCGACTGTAGTATATTGAGCACCTGTTACCACGGTTAGCCGCAGTTAGGAGTTGGCGGGTTTGCACCAATTTGGCTAAAGGATGCGGGCGGTAACAAAACCACTACCATCAGAGGCAATGCGCGGCAATCTTGCTTTATATCATTCGAGCTGTAAGTCTACAACACATCACCTACTGTTCTATAGCTGGGTTTTAAGGGAAGACGACTATGGAACTCTCCCAAAGCTCCGAAGAAGACTGAGACTGCATGAATCTGCTTTTCAATCAGTGACCAGTCTAGTATGAGCAGTGTCTAGAATGAATGCGCTTGGAACGAGCCAACAAATTCAACCCGGAGTCAAGAGGTAGTCAAACCATTGCACGCCGTTAAGGTCCAGTTTCATTGTGGTGGAAAGACCAAGTCAACGCAGATAGCCCCTACCAGCAAACGGAGCGTCGCCGGAACCCAAACGAACTGAAGAACTATTGGCACAACAACAATAACAACAAAAACAAAAAGAACAACAACAGGGAAACGAGATGGGGCGAGTCACTCACGGGTTGTTTTGCGTCAAGCACTCCAGGACCATATCCATGTTCTGTACATCCATACAGGATCCCAAGTTCACATGCTGCAAATGCTGACAAAGTTCGGCAACACTCAAGAGTCCCTCATTGGTAATATGCGTGCGATAAAGTGAGAGCCAATTCAGATGGATCAGACGGCCGAGCACGAGGAAGCCATGAGATGTGATGCCGCTACATGATGACAAATCCAGTTCTGTGAAACGGCAGTTAGGGGTCGACGTAGGCATTAGGCATTAACGTATTGACTTATTGCAATGAAACCAACAACCAGCAACAAGCCGTACACGCGTACATTGTAAAGAAGAACAAGGGTGGCAAGCCTGTACGGTAAAGGAAAAATGAACATACTGGTTTCCTTGATAGTCTAGAGCAAAATTCAAAAAAATGTGAATACGTGTGTAACCGTGAAAAATAAATCCATAAGTAAGGGAAGATGCCGAGCCAGGTAGACCAACTGCTTCCGTAATATTGGCTGAAAATGTACAGAGAGGAATGCCCAATGTTAAGAGAAAAAGACAGGCAAAGGAAAAAGAAAACGAAACGCAAGCAGAAAAACTTCAGCTACATGCCGACGCCGCGACGTCAGACTGAACCGGTCTCCGGAAAGCAGTATTCTGTCCGAGCATGTGGTGGTGTGGAATTAGCATCGAAATGTACAATATACCAAGTACCGCTGATCACCTGACAATACTCTAGATTGTGCCTGTAGCATGGCGCGCAATCGTCCCGAGATCTTTGTGTAACCGACTGTCTAATATGTTTCAAATGTCCACTAGTAGCTTGCACTACAGCTCACGAACACTCCTCATACTCACCCGCAAGGTACATTCGTTCCATTTGCGTTTCCACCGATCCCACACATAGTCCATGCATTTGCACTTTAGCCAACGCAATTTTATACACCATTATGTTTGTACCAAATGTACTCTCTGTCTAGCTGACACACTTAACAACAGATAGAGAACTTGGCTCTATGCGCAGTCATAGTACGCTAATTCCACATTCATTTATTCATACCTTATACACGTTAGCTGC